GAAAGATACAGTGTGCACATTCCTGACAGGGCGCTCGGAATCCTAGACAAGGGCAGAGTCTTGCTTGAGGTTCAATATTCTCTGGCACTCGGCGGTCAACGTTCGCAAGTTGACGTTTGGATCCTGTTCGATGGTGTTCAGGAGCCGGGTTCTGATTTCAGCGTCTCTGGGTGACTGAAGCCCAGACATGAATATGAGACATTCGAATTGGCCTTCAATCATTGAGTGCAATTTGGACCTTTTACACTCACGATTGACAATGCCTACATAAGTTTAGAAATCATCAATGTCATTTTTCACAAGCTTCAAGCATTGATAACGGATATTAAACAGCGTTACCTTCTCGCCAAATGTGTCTGAAAGTTGTTTGACCGTTTCGTCAAATGAAAAGTCTCTGGGGTATTTGAGTAGGATAGTGTTCTTGTACCGCTCGTGTTCTTTGGCACCGAGTTTGCTTGTGAGTAATTGGACCTTCCAATCGTCAGATTCATTGGCGAATTCATCTGGGAAAATGTCTTCCCACCTGGTGAATCACGAGTCGAATGTGATGCCAGAGTCTGGATCGTAGATGAATTCGGTGATGCTCGCCGCGATCAGCTCTGCTGGTCTAACCTGTCTGGAACTGGAGACGTTCGGTGACTGAAGACTCAGTGACCGTAGCACAGCATCAAACGGCAACTGCTGCTGATGCAGGATTGACTTCAGTTCTTCAGGGGATATGGACATTGTGGATTGAGCGAAATACCCGTCGCCAATTGTTGTGTCCGGCTCTCGTTTGACCACAATGTACACACAACAAGATATCACACGATGACACACGAGGAACACACGTATCTCAACGGCCACACTAATCGTCTAGCCTCACGAGTGCGATCACAGNATTGGACGCCACGAGCACTAGTAGCCTTCTCCCAACTACGTAAGCAAGAACACAGTTAGTGCACAGCGAACGTGTACTTGACACACAGGAAGCAAGTCAATTTACAAGTTTTACTCTGATGCTTATATGTGACCCAAAATAGCATCGATTAATGCCAGAAAAAGATTGTGCCAATCAAGTACACAGTTAGCAAAGTTCAATCGATCATAAGTCACGGAGTTAGCAAAGTTCAATCGGTCATGGGTCACGGATCAGACGGACGGAGTGAATGTCCCCGTATGACGCAATATCATTGATTATTCTCCGCGAGATTGGTATTGATTAGAGATGCCCCTAATTGAAGATACTCGAAAAATAGTCAGTTTTAGGTAAAAAATAGTCTTTTAAGTAACATAAATACATATATCTACAGTCTGATCAGTGTTCGTTCATAAATGAAAAAAAAACTGTCAGAGGAAGCCTAACCTTCCCCGGAATATTCTCGCAGTTTGAATTTAAAATGGATTGGGCTCAGCCTTCACCGCGAGAATGTGTTGGCATTTTCTCGCGGGTCTTGGATACGCCGTCGTCAGAGGGGCAGAGAACGTCCGAGAACGGCAACCTGGCTCATGCCGTCTCTTCATCAGTGTCCTCGTAACCTGTGATCAACCCCATTTATATACCACACGTTTCTTCATTTTCCGATCTACGTTTGGGTTTGCACTATCAATAAAGACTTGCACTGTTTGCAACTGCCTTTTAGTTGCGATTGTTGGGACACGCATCATGGTACCAGGTTCGGTGATAGCTTGACGAGACACAACAGAAAACCTTCTCGAGAAAGGTGATATTCTTGTTGTTGAACTAGGAAATAAACAACACTGAGATTGTTTTAAAATATGGGTTTTGTTTTACAATAATTTTATTTTACTCGATCAAAAATTGTCTCCCGTAATTTCGCTCCGGTGCCCGACTTGTTCATATGCTATGATCTGCACCGCCCTAGTAGCTTGTTCTGCCCTTTGGTATTTGGAATCGACAATCCTTTACCCACGTGCTTATATATTTGGGTTGTTATCAACAGGCGGTCGTATGTCCAGACACCCGAAATCTCTGTCCTACTGGTCATTCAAATGGAGTAGCTGCTTATCTTGGGAGTTATTTTATATGATTATGTAACAGATTAGGTTCAGTTCATTACCGGTTTTAGAATATTCCCATTGTTTCTGATAAAGGATGCTTGCAGAAGTTATTACAATACAATACAATACAATACAATTTATTTTATTTAATCCTTAGAATAGTACTGTCTGGTGGTAATTGCAATGACTGCGAAATAATTATCCAACAATCCCAGTCAACGAAGGATTGAGAAAAGATGAAAATGAACTTGTCTTTTAGGGATAATTCAATCTAAAGTAAAAAATAAGTATATCAAAACGAGAACAATGAAGGAAATTCACTATTCGTAGTGATCAATGAATAACTTGATGGCAGTTTTCCAACACATTACAGAAGGAAGATTGTGGTGACACCTGCTATATTTACTTTTTGAATCCAGACAATCCAAACAGCCCACAGGTTGGTTTTCTATAGAAAACCAACAGTTCATTCCAACTGCACTGGATTCGACAATTAAGACCAAGCCACATGTGAAATGTTGTTCATAATTGCAGCACTTGGCCCCGTATACAGAATCAAGAAATCAGTGATATACTGAATTCATCGTCACTGTGTGTTGGGTGTGGAAAGTCGTTCGTTAGAAGATGAATTGGTTATCGTCTACATTTCGGTGTTGAGCAACGCTGAAAGTAGCATCGCGGAATTCAGACTATGAATATGGTGCAGAGGTACAAAGAAGTTGGCTTCAACTTTGGCTTCGTTTGGTGCAGCCTATCTTCCAGGTTGATGCCCAAGGGATGAGGATTGTCGTTGGTTAAAGACGCAAAGAGATATGGTCCAGAATAGTATGCATATATATATATATATATATATAATACCGGCTTGAGAACAAGCATGGTGCCAACGCCACAATAATGACAATAACAATAATACGGGGCGGGGGGGGGTTGGAATACAGAGTATAGAGAAAGAGACCTAACTATCAGAATAGAAGATTACAAATGAATGGAATAAAAGCTTTTTGTGTTTCACCTTACACTTTTGAAATATTTTTTGTTTTACGGGGCACAGGATTTCGACAGGCAGCATTTGCGTCACTGACTTCATATTCCTGGCCATATCTCTAAGGGTCTCCAACCAACGACAATCCTCATCCCTTGGGCCCCAACCTGGAAGGTGGGTTGCACCAACCGAAGCCAAAGCTGATGCTACCTTCTTCATACCACTAAGCCATTTCATGATATGATCGCCTCGGCGCTTCTTCCAGGCTTGCCCGGCATGTGCGAAGGGAGCACATAGAGGTATTCGATGGGCAAGCATACGCAATATGTGACCAAGCCATCGGAGGCGGTGTAAAGCGATTACTTCTGTTAGGGAACGACTATCCACACCCGACACACAACGACGGACCTCGTCATTGCTCACCCGATATTCCCATCAGACACGAGAAATGCTTCAGAGACATCGTTGGTCGAATAGAGAAAGTCGATTAGCATCGTTTGCTCGG